TATCCACCAAACTCACAGTAAAAGCTCAAGCCTGCCAATAGCCTAAAAGTCTTTTGCTTTCTCCACATCTTGCCTCAAATATTATCTTCTCAATGAGTCCTAAGCCCATTTTAAAATCCCTCTTATCGCCTTCTACTTCCCATCCAGTGCCATTTCACTTTCCTCAAAGCATATATCAACCTCTAAAGATGCTGTGGAATCACGAACTTAGAGTTGCTTTATTCTTTCTCTTCTTAAGCTCAATGTTTTCCTTTTTCATATGTGTTGCTTGCTGATTTATCCTCAGTACCAAGTACAGAACCTACTATGCATTAACCTTATATAAAGTAGTAAGTAAACAGAGAGAAGGAATTGAGGCACCAACATCCTCAGCATCTTCCTCAATTCAGGTAAGTGAGATGCTATCCAATGTATTTCCTATCTAGGAAGGCAAGGCCTCGAAAATGTTAATCTCTCATGTTATCTGTATTAGACTCAATGTGATTCTCCTATTTCAGTCAACAATAAGTGTACTTTCATTCTAGTTACTAGAACAATTGAGTATTCCCTTAAAATTTATCCAAAATAGCTTACAGTCTAGATTGATCAGGGCACCCTGTGCACTGTCTTATTGGCAAAGTCTATTGAACTTATCTTCAGTTTTATATGGTGAGTCCTACCATTTCATCCCCTGCTAAGTTATCAGTGAATTTCCATGCCGTCCCACTTGCAGTGTGAGCCTTGAGAACAGGTTACAGCCATTCTCCTTCCCATTCTGCTAGGTTTCAACAGTCAGATCTTTAAATAAACTGTGTCCCACTCTGCTGGTTAAGAGTCCGTGTGAGCTCTAAATTCAGTTTGCAGAGTTCAGAGTTCCCAGACTCCCAGATGGATCAATTAGCATGTTGCTTTTATGCTCTCTGCTTCAGGGTCCTAATATAACCTATGTCACTTGGGATTCCTTTGACACATACAGCCCTGTGCAAGGCACATCATTAATATGAAGAAATAGTAGATGTCATGGCCCCATAATTCCAACGTTCCTCCCTTCCACTTTTGTCTTGGGAAGCCACATTGCTTTCAGTTTTCAATCTTCTGAAATCCTTTCAGGTTTACAGAATTCTTAAACTCTAGTCTTTTTGGAAAGCCTTTTCTAAGCAGGTTTACACTACAGTGTATGTTACATCCCAGGATTCATTCATTTGGTACTAGGGTGGAAGATAAAAGTACACTGGGCTTTCTCCCAGGACAACAGGGAAAATGCTGCCTTTCTTTGGTTGTAAATTTCTCACTGCAGTCCCAGAGCTCCATCCCCAAAACCCCATGTCTCATCAGAGAAAAAAAATGTAGCTTTCAGAAACACGATAAAACACGTTCTTAATTATGAGATCTTAGTTACCATTTTATCTGCTTTGAGAAATTTGGGTTTAGGGGTTGGGAAGTTTGGTTTGGGTTTTATAAAAATAAAGATAATCTGTGAGCACCACCTTGTGGAAAGATCTACAACTACCATGTTGGTATGGATGTTCTCAATCCCCTTGCCCTGAACACAATGTTATGTGTTGGCACTGGAGACAGAGCAGCAGACAGACATAAATCCTTGGCTTCATGGAACTTAATTTCTGGGGTAAGGTAGAAAATAAACAAAATCCATATGTGAAACTTAATATTAGAGAGTGATGAGAACCGAGGAGGGAAAGATAGAGGAGCTGAGCCGGGAGCTGAGGACCACAATGGAAATCGAATGGTCCCAGAAAGACTTGCTGACAAAGTAGTATCTGAATAAAAGTCTGGATCAAAGGAAAGGACCAGGCAGGCAGTTACCAGAGACAAAGCCGTCTAGAAAAGATGGCTCTTGTCAACATTCTTGTCATACCTATGAATTACATGACATTTGCAAAAGTTGCACATTTAATATCTAAAGGATATTATCCATTACTTAACTAACCATATTACTCAAATTTATAGTTATGTAAGTCCAAAAAAAAATCCACAATTGGATCTAGGTTCTAGAATGTTATTTTAAGAGATAGTGGAACGGCAGTGTAAGGACCATTGGCTTACATGATGAAATTTAAATGCTTTTGCAACATTGCCTATAATAGTGGTAATGCACCTTATCTAATTCCATTACAGTATTTGAATATGATATATAAATTCCCAGTTTACTTATAAACTTTATTGCCAATTTAGTTAAGTGAAGTTGTTCTAAATTGAAATTAATGTTTTAATAACTAAGAAATACAATGACCCTCCAAAAGTAGTCAATTTGACAAAATAATAGAAGAGGAATTGTGTAGCAATCTTGCTTATAGAAACAGATTATATTTTGTGAAATTAAGATTTTAAAAAAGTATCTATGGGAAAATGTATAGCAATTCATGAATTAATATCTTTATCTTATTAGTCATCTAATCCTAGTATGTCTACATAAATAGTAATCCACTCACTTTTGCTATCTGGTTTACTGTCGATCATATTGATAAAGCCATAGCTTTTTAAAAACATGTTCAACAAAATGACATATATCCCAAAGTAGGGAAGTAGTAAATAACCATCTGTTACCTTGATTTATGTTTTAAATGTTTAGTCATGTAGTCTGTTTACATTAGATGTTAAGGGAATCCAGTAAAGTTATTACAATAATCAAGGCAGTAAATTATGCTGCCTTGAGCAAAGTTGTGGTGGTGGAGGTATGAGGAAGTCATCGACCTCTGTATAGATCCTGAACAAAGCATTACATTGATTTTATGACACGTTGAATTTAAGTATGAAGGAAAAAAGTAAAATGATACACGTGCGTTTGAGGGAAGGTGCGGGAATTCCAGAAGCTGTACCTGGCTCTGCTCAGCTTGAGGTGCCAGCTTCATTCTTGACAGTTTATGATCCAGCTGGTTCTCAAAGGTGACATTCTGGTATATATTGGTCGCCATTGGGGTAGGAGTAGGACGGCAGTTGGACCCAAATCCTCAAGGAAGAGAGCCATTCTTAGGTTTTGCTTTTAACAAGATGGCAGAAAGGATATGCTGAAAGGGAGGACTGTGTTGCACATTTCTCCACTCTCAGCAGGAAGTATGGTGAAAAGCCTAGAATCTCCTCTCCCAGAGCAGTTTCCAAAGGGCAGCCTTCTACCCCCCATGTTCGTATTACCATGGATCATGGATAGTAACCCTGAACTCTGAGACTTCCTTCCTATAAAGTGCTTAATCACAAACATAGATGTAAGACACTGTCAGATACCATCAATCTTACATGTGAACTGCTCACTTATTGGTTACTGGCCCTTTTCTGCATTGTCTACATCTAATACTTTGATGTCATTTTCTACTCTGTCTTCCTGTGTTAGTTGTGTCACAGCCTCCTCAAATTGCTCCAACTCATTGTTAGAGATGACATAAAGGGACAACATGGGAATACAAAAACAAGAAACAAGATTTTAAGTTCCTGAATCACTTCACTATTTTTCAATTTTTAAATTCAAGAAGAAAGACCATTTCAAGTGAAAGTGTCACTTTTTAAAATCACTTGCAACCCATCTCATTCTTCCTCTGACAAACATAAGCACAGCCATGACAAAAGTCACATTCTGGTCTACACAGCAAAAATAAACTACTGTAGGAAAGGAAAAATATTGAGAGTGAGCTTTACCGAAGCCTACTAGAAAATTGTTAGATTAGAAATTAATGCATCATTTCCAAAGTTAACATTCTATAGAACACTGTTCATGGGATTAGTTCAAAACTTGAACTCATGGAGTTCATGGAGCAAAACAAAATTAATTTATTTTCCATGTCCAAGACTACACTAATGGGTTTTAAGAATCTTCAAGTGATATGTGTGTGTGTGTATGAGTGTGCAATGCAGAACTTTCAGCATTTGTTTAATGTGGACGCTACTTTTGTGATTCCTAATAACAACATCCAGAAATGGCAATCCTCTGAACAGTGCTAAAATGCATATGCATGAGAATCTCAAAAGTGAATGCTTGCCCAAGTTGGCAGAAGCAAAAGTTCCTCAGCACTCATTCCCTGGCTTGCACACCAAGATTTGAAAATCTGAATAAGTACACTTCCACAGAACCAAATCCCATTTGGATTCAATAAATTTCACTTTTCTGAAAGAATGGAATTACAGAATTATCCGATATTCACAGTTATTAAACACTTACATTGCAAATGAATTTCTACCCCCACCTGCTCCTGAAATGTTGTCACTGAATAACAGGAATTAATTATTATAGAGATAATGATAATGATGTCAAAGAATTTATCCTAATTAAATGTACTACCATGAAGAAAGGGCTGAAATCTTTATTGATACTGATCTAATTTTGTTCTTAATTCTTTGGGGGACATTCAGTCTTATGCACAAAAAATTGATGAATGGTTAATTGAGCAATATCTTTGTCAGGTTTTTATTTTACATTTTATCCACTCTACATGGTACAGGTTAATATGCAAATCCTTATACTTGGATACATTTTAAAGGTATTTTACCTAGTCTTGGCAACATTCCCTGTCTATTTCTCTGAATTACACTAACATGGAAATACCTCCATTGTATTGAAAGACAACCCGTCCAAGAGAATTAGGGGCTTTTTGAAAACTGTCATCACAGCCTGACTGCTTTTAGCCACCCATTCATACAGAAAGGAGTGGCACAGCATGGCATTTTATGGGATATAGAAGATATTTAGAAGGATATATTTATTAACTATAAATCTCATTCATGGTCTTGAATGTAAGCATTTTTATTTCCTTAAATGGCATCCATCAGTAATGCTATTATAATGCTAAATGAAAAATGTTAGCCACAAACTTCATAAGCATGTGTTCACAAATTCATATAAATATTTTGAAGGAGATGCCTTCAAATAGCAATAGTAATTGACTCTATGTTATACAGGTTTTTAATTTTTCTCTATTGTTTTATAATCATGAAAAAATTGAGGTTATTTTTAAGAGCCCTATGTTAATAGACTAAGTCAAGAGTATATTCTTGATAGTGTTCAAGACCTGAATTTATGGTGACATTCCAAGAGTTTCTTCTGGGTACAAAAGGAATCCAGTAAAAACACTGTCATCCTCAGGGCTGACATACAGTCCGTTCCAGTCCTTTGACACTTCCAGCCACACTTGATCTCCTGCACTTAATTTCAAGATGAGGAGGAGAGAAGCCTGGTCTACCTCTTGACCATAGAGTGTCTCTCTGGACTTGAACTGCTTCTTGTTGCGCACCACCAGGCTGATCCGAGCAGGTCGCCCTCTCACAGTGACATGGTAGGAAAAAACATAGGTCCCAGGAATGCTGCAGTTAAATTTCCCAGTGATGGGGCTATAATCCCCTTGGTCGTTGGAGAGAACTTTGTCAAACTTGATAGGACTGTTAGGGGGCGGGAAAGGCTTGGACAAAAGGGCGCTGAAAGCTGACTGCAGGATTTGAGTCGCTTCGCCCTTAGAGCCCTTAAAACCTCGGGAGCCCTTCTTTCCAGTAGGTCCTCGGACCCCTTTGCTCCCAAGCTCGCCCTTTGGTCCAGCAGGTCCCATGAGACCAGGTGAACCTACCTCTCCTTTTTCTCCTTTAAGGCCGGGTTCACCACTAACTCCTGGCAGACCATCTGAGCCCTTCTTGCCGTCAGCCCCAGGGTCTCCTCTGCCTCCTTTTTCTCCTTTCATCCCTTCCTCGCCTTTTTGCCCTTTTCCTCCCCTTTCTCCAGAATCTCCACGGTAGCCTTTGTCCCCAACATCCCCCTTCTCGCCCTTGGCCCCAGACTCGCCGTTGAAGCCATGGGCACCTGCAGCCCCAGTATCCCCTTTCTCTCCTTTGGTGGCGTTCCCACATGGGTCCCCCTTGGAGCCTTTTTGTCCTTTCGGTCCCTCCAGGCCGATGCTTCCTTTATCGCCCTTAGCACCAAGTCTACCTGAAATGAAAAATCCAAATAACGCTTAAGAATCATATAAGCAATGACCGGATGCTATTACCATGTACCTTTAAATGTATATACATATATATGCATATATATATATAAAGAATACCTAATTAACTGAGATCTGTAAACCTAGTTCTTGCCTTAGTAAAGTCTGTACCTTGGAGCCATTAAATGCAGTGAGCAATAATTAATATGCCATGCTCTCAGAAGGGGAGCAGCTAAGGCTTCTAAGACACAATAGGGTTTTGCTTTTACTTTTAACATAGTAAAGAACTGTAGTTATAGTTATAGTTATAGTTATAGGTATAGGTATAGTTTATAGTTTATAGTATAGTATAGTATAGTATAGTATAGTATAGTATAGTACCGTACAGTATACTTATAGTAAAGAACTGCAGTTATAGTTATAGTTTATAGTATAGTATAGTACAGCATACTTATAGTAAAGAACTGTAGTTATAGTTATAGCTTATAGTATAGTATAATATAGTATAGTATAGTATAGTATAGTACAGTACAGTATACTTATAGTAAAGAACTGTAATTATCTGTTGTGTCCCACCACCTTTTGAATTTTGAAACCCAAATAGTATCTTCAGTCTCTGTATTACCCATCCACACCCAAAGTCTTACAGACACAGAAACCGAAATGCAGGATTTATTCCTTCTAATGACAGCTAGAGAGAGAGAAGAACACAGATATTTCTGCTTAGGGTCTCAATTCCTAAGCTCACTTCATCTGATCAGTACACTGAGATCTTAGAAGAATAATAGGAATTTATGTATCCATCTTGCTATTCTGACCACTTTGACAAAGGGGAAGTGAGCAGAGAACTATACTGCATTTGTGTCTGCACACAGCACTTTACCTTGCTCTCCAGGCTTTCCTGGATATCCTGGAACTCCACCTGTTCCTTGGTCCCCACGTCCGCCCTTTAGTCCTAAAATGATGCAAAGATGAACTTTTTGCTCAACTATATCAATTAGGGTAAATCTAATATCTGTTTTACAGCCATGCCACATTCCAGTGTTTCCTTTAACATAAATTGTTTAACGGTAAAATGGTGGGGGTGTGGGGAATGCATGAAAGGACATTAGGAATATTGAATTTTAATTAATGGTAAGCCATTTAAAGTCTAGGAGGCAGTGACGATCCCTTCAGACAGAATTCATCTTTTCCTATGGCACGCTCATGACTCTTCAAAGTTATGAAATTCACACTGCCCTGCTAATATTGTGTATGAACGTACTGGTGTTTTTCCTATCATGAAATATGAATGACAGTTGAAATGTCTTCTTTATTTGTGTGAGAAATAACACCATTCACCATAGCGGTTTAAACTCAGAAAGTATGGCATTCTTTAACTGGCTCAAACTGTTCATAAAACTCAACTGGGAATGAAAAATGTTTTTTAACAAACACCATCAAAAAAGACAATTTTCATTGCATGTTGCAATAATTTTTATACATTCTTAGAGAGCTGCAAGAAACATATCTGAAAAATAATAAGAGATTTAGGTTTTCAGATATTGCCATATTATAAAAAGGATTCTCATATTGAACTAAAAGCCAATTCATTTATAAATTTATTTTGATTCTGAATGATAATAGCAATAATAATGAATATGTAACTTGTACTGAGAATCTACTTTATTAGTTATTGTTCCAAACAATATTTTAAAGCTTACCCTGGCCTTATTTGTTTATTATAATTTTATTTGACATCAATATCTGCTCCTATATAATGGCAGGGCTCATACAATAGCACATTTGATTTTTCATTTACCAATGTTTATAACAACTTTAAAAATGGTAGATCAGGAATTTCTATTATTTTATTATTTTTATTACTTTTAACATAGAAGAAACTAGTGTATGAAAGAATTTTAAACATGTACAAACCTGACTGCATAGATAACCTTTGTTGGCATCAATTTACAACTATGTTATCTTTGATACATCTAACCTTTTTGTTTCAGCTTTATCAGGGAAAAGAAATCCCAAGACAAACTAAAGGTGATGAGAATAGACAACTCCTCTAACTTCACAAGGCCACCTAGAAAAATCCAACATAAGTCATTCTTCAGATTCCTAAGGAGCTGGTTCCTCTTTTATCACTTCATACAAAATGCAAGATTTTAAATTTAACTCCTAGGCCATCAGGAAAATATCTGGATGCATCCTGACAGTCTCCAACCTTGAATGGAAGTGAATGTCCAGTCCTGTTCCCCGTCCATGTCCGTAATGGAATGCTGCCTTCATCCAGCATTATGTGCGTTCTTTACTGTATTAAAGGAGTTTAATTGCCTATATCCAGTTTATTTAATTAAGTAATGAAAGACTAAAAAGCAGGCATTCGAGTAAGGTTTTGGGTGTCCTTTAACTTAGTCAAGAGTCCAAGCTAAGTCTGGAAGTCAAAGAAAAGTAGAGTTGCTACTTTACAGAGACTGTCTGAATGAAATTCGACTTTTGATCCTCCATCAAAGCATATTCTTAAGAACCTTATCTCGCAATACTGCCCTAGATCTTCTACTTCCAGAAGTCTAGCTTCCAAAATGTATGAATCGTCAAGGAGGTTCATCACTCATCATCATTTCACAGGGTTTTCTGCTAATATGATTCAGCCACAAAAGGATTAAATGTTTCCAAGAATGAAAATCGCAAAACTGACAAGTGTGAAGTAGCTCTCTCTTACCTTTCACATCTTTTAAGTAATTACTTCTCTGAGTGTTCTAGCAGAAATGACTTAGGCAGCTCCTGAGCCATGTGGAGGGTGATGTATATAGGATATTAGATCTTTTGACATGTGACACAGAGGCTAAAACACTGAGCTTGATGGATAGATGGATGCCAGTATTCACTGGAGAATTTCTAAATATTCCAGTGAATCTGTAACTGCTCTTTAGTATCTTGAAGTTTCTGCATAACCATGCATTTCCCAGGACAAAAATCCCTCTTTATTGATACATTTATAGAATTATAGAATTCCTGAGCAGGAAAAGGTTGATGAAAATGCTCATACCTACAGATCTTCTTTGATAAACAAGATAAAAATAAATATCAAACAATTTCTCTCAGTTTCCAGGCAATGTGAAGTAACTGATCCAATGTCATTGTTATAAGCTTGGTACTTCTGTTTTAATTTATCTCTGTGCCCATTACTGACATTGCTTCTGACTTCAGAGTGAGCCAAAAGCAGTATTGCATTCTCCTTAACAGGTAGGTTTTGTACCTAACCTGATTATTCTACAGCTAGTCTTGTTAGTTCTATTTAATGTTAACTGCATCATTAGAAAAATCTTACACTGTGCTGGGTATAGAGCTCAGTGGTAGAGCTCTTACCTAGCATGCACCAGGCCCTGAGTTCAATCTTCAGTAATGGGGAGAGAGGGGAGAGAAGAAGAAAAAAAAAAAAAGATTCCACACAGAATATGTAGGAAAAGACTGTTCCCCAGAGACCATACTTTGTGACTTCCAGTCACTTGGTTGACCAGGTGGCCAGGAAGAGTTGGAAAAGCTGTTTAAAAGTCTCTCCCTCTTTCTCTCTCTCTCCCTCATGAGATACTCCCAGATACCTTTAAAGTTTTTCAATTGACCATGTATAAATTAACATTTTATCTTAAACTGATAAATAAGATGAAAATTGCTCTCTTTAGAAATTAGAATATCCCTGGAGCTTTGATCTAAAATAGAATGGTTTCCTACCCTTCTCTCCTTTCTGGCCTTTGGGGCCTTGGGGTCCAGTGATTCCTGGGGGCCCTGAGACGCCAATATCACCAGCCTCTCCTTTAGGACCTAGAAATAGGGTTTCAAAACCATTACATTAGAAAAATTATCTTTTGAAATTCATTATTCCAGGTAGAAAATTCTATTATTTTACTGAACTCAAAAACTGTCAGTGTTCTAATGATAAAATCTGGTGAGAACAAACTATTACAGAGTTCTAAGGGCAATATTTTTGTCTGATTTGCAATTTTGTACTACCTGAATAGATAAATTGAGCCCATTAGTACTTGTCACTGTACTCATGGCAGTGATCAAATGATTCAGGGAGGCAGCACTATATCAAATGACAAAAACAAAATGATTATCTGACACTTAACCTCATACAGATGACGCTTTCAAACTGGAAGTACAAACACAATACCAAACACTTTCAGAGTTCCCACTCATTCACTTACTAATTGATTCTGAAACTATTTCTGAGGTTTCCTCTACACTCAAGCATGTCCATAGGTGCTATGAAACAGTCATCAACAGGCAAGGAGCCCCTCCCCCCATGGTGCTGATCTATGCAAGATCAGCATTAAATGAATATGCACACGAGGAAACAAATTGCCATGCTATAGTAGACAATAAAAAGTAAAATAAGAAGGTTCTAAGTTGTTACAGTTAAAAATAAAATAACCTAATTTATATTTATGGGATCAGAACTCCCTGAGAAAACAGCATTAAGCGAAGAAAGACTCAATAAATGGATTAGGATTTCCTGACACATTAAAAAAAAATCATAACGTCTTTAAGCAACTGAAAAATTATTACTGTGGGTGGAGTTGGTGACCAAGGATAAGGAGGTGAGAAGCAGGCAAGGTTAAGATCATGTCTCTGACCTCATTGGGTACCCTTGTTCATCCAGACCAACCACTTACCTGGGACCCACATATCCCTCAATTAATTATTGTTTCTGCAAAGTCAGTCCTATTTGAAGCATAGGAATTGCTTCTCACTTGGAATAATTCAAAGCAAGCGTCTCTGAAAGTTAACCATGTAGAGAAGCATGCTCAATGAAATTATAAAATGTCATCTTAATTATCATTAAAGCTGCTGGCACAGAAAAATCACACTCCGTAGAATTTCTCTTTGAAAGAATATTGGAAATTTTTTTTGAAAGAAAACCTTTAGTAAATTGAAATGGGGGTTAAGGCTGAAGGCAGGTGCCTCCATTTGAAGAAGAAAGGGTTGCACAGAAGAGAGGAACAGAGACAGACTGAGAAGAGAAAGTGAGAGCAAGCAGAACAGCCAATCACAGCTCACTGTGCAATGTCTCCCCTCCAAATGCTCAATGGGGCTAAATTATTAGGGACATAATAAAGCACTGTGCCTATAGCCATATTAGTCCAGTCGAATCCATCACTGGGGGAACAGAAGACCTGGGGCCATGACTCTTACAGCCTTCTTAAAGGACAGTGCAGTGGTTAGCCATGTCTCCTTGGTCATGGCTTTGAGCTTTCATTCCCGAGCAGCTTACAAGCCATATAGGATGCTAAAAGTTCTAAGAGATATGACTTTCTCAGTCTCATTGCATTTCCAATAATGTGTGAGTACCAGGAAATCTTGGAGTCCTGAGCTACTGTCCATCATCTTCAGCCCTTAATCCACTTCAGCATAAACAGCACATTTCCCTAAAGTCCCCTTCCATGAGATGAAATGAATTAAAAAACTCAGTGAAGATACATAATTACTGATTTGACAACTTTCCATTCTTCTGGCTAAATGGAGCAAACATTTTTTTCAGGGAATAGTACATTTGGAATTGATGTTTTAGTCATAATTTTACCTTAAATTCTCTCTACTATATGGCATATGAAAGTCAAAATGCATTATAATAAAACAGCATATGCATTATGTGTCTATTAAAGACATCTGAAAATTTGAAATACATAATCACAGTGTTCAATGGAAAAGAGTAGCTGGGTAATGACATAGCATCACTCCCAAATTTCAATGAGTAGCAAATTGAATCCAGCAATTTATTCTCCATATCACAGGCCTCCCACTTCTAATCCTAACTACAAATAGCATTCAAAACAATCCATCAGTCAGCATACATGCTTGCCAGGCAGGAGAATTTTCATTCACCTTTTTTAAAATTAACCACTAATAGATTCTACTGATCATAAGCCTGAGCCGCTTACAGAACCTCAGCACCAGGCCTGGGGTTGGAAGTCTGTGACTCGGCTCTAACCAGCACTGTGCAGTAGGACTTTGTACAAGACAGAAAGTTTCTATTCATTTAGTATCTGTGTTATTCAATACAGTAGCACTGGCCACGCATGGCCACTGAGCTCTGGAAACATGGCTGTGATTACTGAATTGCATTTTTAGCCTAATTTGATTATGTATCAAGAACCAATTGTGAGGCTTTTGGCTAGGCCCATTACCATTACTTGCATAACAGTGTAGAAACTCTTGGCACAATTCCTCTCCTCTACCCTCCTCTCTGAGGATGTGGAGGTGGATATATTTTCAAGTACCTGGCTTCCCAGTCTTTCCGAGTTCTCCTTTCTGCCCAGAAACAAATGAACAACAATGGCAGCAATTCAAAAGGAAATCTGCTGTGTCAAAAGAGAAGTTTTCAAAGGGAAGGAGGGTGGCACTGGCCAAAGCAGAATCCAGAGCAGAGGGGTCAGCGGTGGGCTCTGTCATAGTAGCCGTTTCTGTGAGGAGGGCTTTCTCTTGGTCCTGAGGGGAGCCACCAGATGACTCTAGACCCTTCAGCATCTCCTTCCCCTCAGATTTCTTCGTGAATTTGGCATATGATGTGGTCTTTCCTACCGTGTCTACACCAGCAATAGTCAATATAATTAAAAAAGCACAAAGCCAGGAAAATATCCACATATTTGAGACTGAAAAGAAGACAGAAAAATACACACAAATTATATACAGTCCAAATGAAAACACTAAGTAATATAATATACTCTTAATGAGAGAAATAAATATGTATATGAAGCATAAAAATGAACAGTGCATAATATAGAATGATATATCATTGGTCTATTTTATATGCATGTGTGTGACTCACCATAGAATGTTTTATGTCCTTAAAGTATTTATTATCAGGAACACTTTGCTTCAGATTCCCCTGCTTGTTATTTCTTTGGTGTTACATGTTCTAAAATAGTGTTCTCAATCATTCAAATTATCTTGCCAAATAGCAAACATGATCTATAATAAATGCAGCATGACTTAACAGTTCATATACCCTGTGGAAAACAAATATGTATAATTTCCTGACTGACCTCACTTGGATTTATAGGAATCAAATATATTTGTATTAGAGGGAGATGAAAAATATTGAGCTGAATAGTTTATTCCAGCAAACTCAATTATTTCAAGAAAAAAAATACTGGTAAAATAGTCTTTAAATCTACTAGGGATAATAGCCCTGTTGTGGGAGCACTCTTTTGGAATTTATTATAATAAATGGAGAGGGAGACCATAAAAAAATCATAAATGTGAAAATATGCTATGTCCCTAGATTCTTTACATGCCATTTAACTCTCGTATAATTTGGGGAGTTTTCTGAAAACTCACATTTATCTTTGTATTATTTTGATGATGAAAACACAGTTATTCTTATTAAGGTTTTTGCCAATGTCCAAAGAAAATAAGAGTCCCAATAAAGTGAGATTGTGATGGTTCATAATTCCTTTCCCCATCAACTCCTGGCAGTCTGGTGGCTGTTAATAGGCCATCAAGGATATAAAGGCATGTTCTCTGATATAAGAAAGAAATGGCAAATGAGGTTACAGCATTGAAATAAGGAGTCCAAGGCACCTACTATGTGCAGAGCCATTACCACACCTCACTCCTGCACCATCAATTCTATCAGCTCTCAAAACATCTATGCCAGGGAGATGACACACAATTATTCACCTTCACAAATGAGGAAACAGGCACATTTCATACTTTCCCAAGGTCATAAAACCAGTAAATTATTGATTTAGGACTCAAATGCAGGTCTGTTTAATTTCAAAACTTAAACCCATTTCCACAAATCATCTGGTATTTATAAAGATGGGACTAAAAACAATAAATCCAATGGAGAAGAGCTGTGGAGATGGACATACATCAAACCAGAGGAGAAGGGACAAAGATGATACTTCATTTAGAAATCCAAAACTACTAACTTTCCTTCAAGTTACTGCTATATTCATTGATTCAATTATTATTGGCTGGCTATTGGTAACATAACAAGGAATGAGGAATTGTCTTTAATGATACCAAATATAAGTCATGACCTTGTTCTCAGGGAGTTCAATTTAGTAAGGAGATGAGAGATGACCAAAGCAAAGAGGAAAATGTGAACTGATGACACTCGTGTTTCAAATACAGACATACCTATACACACACCTCCCCCACCACACACACAAAGTTAACCAGCTACATCCATCCCCAACAAACACTAGCCCCACACTTCTTAAACTGTGGGTCAGTGGACCCCACATGAGGTCATTTAACTGAACTTGGGGATGATGAAAATTTTGGCAACAGGAACAGGTTTTTGAGCACACAACAACCAAAGTTTAATTCAAGGTCAAAATCATAATGTATCTGAGATGTTTCTTGCAGCAATTGCCTGTATGGCTTCACTGCAGCCTTCGTTCTGAACATACAGTGTGAGTACTTTGCTGAGCACGCTGTCACTCCACACAGTCCCAGTGAATGTTGCCTGAAACACCTCAGCTCAAGTTCCAAACTGAGTATGTGATGAACTGCGGCGATTTTACTTTGCATACTGCTCTTACAGAGATGTAATGGCAGGGCTGGAGAGGTAGCTCAGCAGTTAAGAACACTGGCTGCTCTTGCAGAGGACCCATGTTCAGTTCCCAGCACCCACATGGAGGCTAACAACTATCCAAAATTCAAGTTCCAGGAGATCCAGTGCCCTCTTCTGGCCTCTACAGGCATTGCACATGCACAGGTGCACTTAAATACTTACAGGCAACACATTCATGTACATAAAATAAAAAATAAATTAATTGAAAAATTAAAGAAACATAATGGCTTAATTGCAGAAAGCAAAGACTATTTTTCTACTCTTATTCCTTAGCATGTAAGAATCAAATTAGTATGTCTTTGGATTGTATTTTATTAGAATGTTTGACTTTTAAAATTGCTATTTGAGTTGTTATTATTTTCATTAAAAGAAATCATTCAGTGAAATTTGGCTTGTGATTAGGACAGAATTTCCAACCATTTCTAAATTGGCCCTAATCACTCTTCTGCCATTTTGTAGTTTATACTTAAGCAAAGTAGTATTCTCAGCCTTGATAATGATACAATCAAAGCATCACTCAACTATGAAAAATGTTCAAGATGCTCTACATCCATCAGTATCAAACATTCAGGTACGATTTAACTACTAATATTTATATAAAAATAAGTATATCCCACTCATCAGCATCCAAATTTGCTTTTGTCTTTCATAAATGGTAAAATTACATGTTTAACAAAGAACTATATTTTAAGAAGAACATACGTTGTTTAGTAGTACTTACAAACAGCAATAGCCCACAAGAATACTCAAACAATGAAAAACAGAATTTAAAATTCAGATCTCTCAGTAAGATAACAATTCTTCATGGAATCACGTGTGGACACTGCCCATTTAAGGACTTACTTTGCATTGAAAAAAATGTATTACACACTGAGAGAGCAGTCAAAGGGCTTATGCAAAGTATATTATGTATGTGAACTCATCAGAATGCATTTTGTCTTTTTTAAATTACCTTTTCTTGTTCTCTTTTCTAAATGCAATACTATACCCATGTGTACATTTATTTATATACATACATACACACATACATACATACATGCATACATACATACATACATCAACACCCTATAGACTAGGATCTGCATATGAGGGAGAACATGCAGGATTTTTCTTTCTGAGATTTGATGACCTCACTTAATATTATATATTATAAGTCCTTTCACTTTCCTGAAAATTCTGTAATTTCATTTTTCTTCAGAGCTGAATAATATTCCATTATATATACATATATATAAAATCACACACACACACACACACACATATATATATATATATATCAGATCTTCATTCTTCATTATCCATTCATCTGTTGATGGACAACTACATTAGATCCACTTCCTTGATACACTGAATATAGCATTAATAAACATGGGAGTATAAATAAACATTTTTAAAATTAATTTTGTTATGGTTTATTACAAATGAATGTTTTATATATCTATTTTATATACCTATATGATAAGCACGTCATAAAAGTTCTCAGGCAAAAAGGGGTCACAAGTGGAAAAAATTTAAGAAGCCCTGTATTAAATAATAGAATGTTATTTGAATATAAAATAATTAAGCTTTAACTATTTGTACAATTGCATTCAATAAAGCAGCCATTTATTGAACAATCATTTATTTAAACATCTAAGAAGTCTTACGAGCTCCTCAAACAGAGAGGCTTAAAATTCAGCTCCATCCTAAAGCTCTTTTTTGTAGTAATCATGAAAATATAAAATGGCCCATGCCTTCAAGCTACAGAGAAATCAGAGATCTGGCAGAAAGCCAAAAGTGAAATATTAGTAGCTTTTAATTCCACATTTTGCTCTAAGAAGCATAGTGGCACATACATATAACCTTAGCATTGGGGAAGCTGAAAGACGAAGATCATGAGTTCAGAGCTGGCCTGGGCTACATGACAAGATTCTGTCTCAAAAAGTAAAGAAAAAGAAAGGAAGGAAGGAAGGAAAGAAGAGAAAGAAAGAAAGAAAGAAAGAAAGAAAGAAAGAAAAAGAAAGGGAGGGGTGGCTTCAATGCTAGCCTGGATTATATAAGTAGAAGAAATAAAGAGGTAAAGAGAGGAAGGAAAGAAGGAAGGAGGGAGGGAGGGAGGAGGGAGGGAGGGAAGGAGGGAGGAAGGAAGGAAGGAAGGAAGGAAGGAAGGAAGGAAGGAAAAAGGAAGCAAACAAAAAGAAAAGACGTGTTAGAGTTTACAGAGTGCTATGTGTTAATGCTCTAGGTCCTAGAATTTAAAACATTTCATATATTATCTTTTAAAAACTGAGATAATGGGGCTGACAAGATGATTCAATGGTTAAGGGCACCTGCTCTTCCAGAGGACACAAGTTCAGTTTCCAGTATACATATTGGACGTCTTACAACCACCTGTAACTCCAGGTCTAGGAGATCTGAGGTTCTCTTCTGGAATCCAAAGGCAGCTTCACACAAGTTGAATACATTCATACACACACACACACACACACACACACAAATCTGTTTTTTAAATGGTTCCTCTCACACACCTCTGTCACTACAGGTCGAGGAGATGTGAGTTTCTCTTCTGAAATCCAGAGACAGCCTCACACAATTTGAATACACATACACACACACACACACACACACACACACACACACACACACACACAAATCTGTTTTTTAAATGGGGTCATGTGAAGAAATAATCTTTTTCCTTTCTGGTGCATATCACTTTTTCTTCTGTACATATGCAGTTTTTATCCTGTAAACATGTTGTGGTACAATCCTAGTAAAAGAGTCCTGATGGGATAAGCTACAGATAGCTGAAGGGACCAATGGGGAAGAAGGGATCCAACAGTGAGACCCTGGCAGGCACTGTTTAAGACACTTTATAATTGTGTCAACAGCACACAAGAATCACACAAGATAAGATCTGTCATGCCCATTTAATGGGTTATAAAATGGAGGCGCAGAAAGGTTCAGTGGTCTGCCAAAGATCGCAGTATTCATAAGCAGCATTTCTGGCATTAACAGGCAGCTCTTTTGACTCTAAAACCAATTTAAACACCTCCCACTGTGTCACACTGCCTGGGGATGA